AAAAGGTTAAATTTTTATTTATACAGGTTTCACTTTAACTTGGTCTTGAACATCCAGCAGAAAAGTGTAACCACAAGATGAAAAGAAGCAATGGCAGAGTAATAGGTTAGCTGTAAAAGGTTTAAGTCACCAACAACTTCTGACAGTTGCCAGCTAAACTGATAATTGTTATGGACTTTGGACTATATTCTTCAAGCATAGCTTTTCCAGCTTCAACTGAACACCCATCACTTCTGCAACTAAACAGAAAAGGGAGATAGTTGGGAGCCTCTGGAGTTGGTTGTTGGTCATGTGTCTGAGGGTGGGACAGATCCAGAGTGCCTCAGGCAGTTAAGCTACCTCAGTATTGAAAAAAGTATCCTGCTTGGACAATTACTGTCTTAGTCTTAGTCTTAGTTGCTAGGCAACATTATCTCTCATGATACTACTTTGCAAGCGTACAAAATAAATGCCCCTACTGTTGGAGTCAGTCCTCTTGCTCATCAGTCAAGAGGTAACTCCACCTGACCCTGGCTATAGTCTCTTGTCTTTATTTTCTATATCCTTTCACCATTTTCTCCCAGGGACAATGGAGAGACCACTGACTCCCACAAAATCCCAATAGCAAAAGCACAGGGGTAAGCAAAAAATAGGTGACTGTGAAATGTCGGCTCTAACAGTTCAAAACAGATGAAGAGGCACTCACCTTTATGAGCAAAGAAAATGTAACAAAAACAATGAGATTTTGCATGGCAAATTCTCAATTATCAACCAAATACTAATTGCTGCTAAGGACAAGGAGAATCACATTTTAATTCATTATTGATAGAAACATTAATTTCTTAAGCCTGGCAGTACACATCAGTCTGGCAATATACATCAAAAGTGTGTATGCCCTTTAGGCCAAAGATTTCTCACTTATACTCAAGGAGCAATCACTCACACACAAATATATATGGAAAAGAAGCACAGAAGGATTTGTCACTGTGTGTTCCATCATAAGGAAAGCTGAGAAGAGCCTAACTGACTATCAAGAAGAACTGATAAGTAACTTGGAACATCTATATCATGTGGTTATCTGTGTCACTTTTAAAGGATGGTGTACCTTATATTTACTGATATGGAAAAGTCTTTTGACATATTTACATCATTATATCCAAATATCAGGGTGTGCATTTTAAATATACAGGATGTGATCGCAACATACCATAAATGTTTAAATAAAAAATTATTACATAAATGTTTAAAACAAATGCATGAAGGACATATTTCCATTAATCCCCTCAAACTACTCCCCTTCACCTCAGACAAGTATCCCGTCATTCTTGCTGCGTTCTGCAGCAGCTCTGGAGTCCTCTTCCCTGAGTGTCTTTAGTTGTGCGGTCCACTGCCTCGATCTCCTGAAGTGATCCAAAATACCTACAGCAATTTCTGTCAAATAAAAATGTTATGGTGTGTCCTCACCCACCTTATTCACAGGCTCGGGTTCCAAGTGACTTCTGGCTCCTCCCCAAAGTCAAGATGACCACGAAAGGTGAACATTTTGAAGGAGACTAATAATATGGTTTCTTTCTTCTTTCCTAAATCTTTTTGAGACGGTTTCCATATGCAGTTCAGACTGGCCTCAAGATCGCAGCGATCCTCCTACCTCAGCCTCCCGAGTGCTGGAATTACAGACCTGCAAATAATATGTTCTTAAATTTAAACATTTATTGTATATTTTGAACACATCTCATATAAATTTGAAAAGAAAGTTTGAAAGCAATATGTACTAGATTGCATATTCCTATGTGTATAACCAAATTCTAAAGTGGAGAAATCTGAAACAACATTTATAAAATTTTGATTATGCTTTCTTATAAAATAGCCTTTAAGGTGTTTTATTATTTTCTATACAATTCCCATATTGTCTAAATTTTTGAGTATTTATTATGGCAAAAGCAAGCAGAACCACCAAAATGACACCCAGACACCCAGGATTTGGACGCAGATTTATTTACATCAATGGGCACTGATTAGGATCATTCCCAAAATATCAGAACCTGATCTCTGGTGGTCTAGGGCTTATATGGGATAAGCAAACAGAAAGTGCAGAGGCAGGATGCCTTGTGAATTAGGGATTGGTTTATACGATGTGCATCATAGTGACCAACTATGTGTCACAGTGACCAGCTGTTTCTAAGAGACAGAAGTAACTGGAACTGGAATGGGAACTATTACCTGGGCAACTAAGACACTGAAGTGTACTGGCTTGG